TTTAGTAATTTTTACGATCTACTATTGTAAATTTTATCCAACAAGCAAGGCTAGCAAGAAACTTAAAAAGTCGAATAATATACAGCAAATTATACAATATGTGTTTGTAAACTTTACAATTCAACTATTGTAAAAATTGACAGTTGGTTTTTTAAAAAGAAATTTTAGGGAGGGAGAGAGATAGGAGGTTGGACTAATTGGTACCAATACAGTAACCGAAAAAAGAAATCGGAATTTTCGTCCTATCCGGGAATCGAACCCAGAACTCTTTGTTGGCAGCCAGAGACTCTCCCTCTACGCTATCCGAGGTAACCTAGTACCCAAGTCCTTTAACATTTACATAAACTCGGAGTCTAGCGCTGTGCACGGCCATCGCTCACACTAATTGACAAACATTCCAATTCAACTATTGTAAAATTTGTTATAGTTCTATTGGAAAGATACAGAGGCAGCACTGGAAATTTTAATTCTTACTTTTTACAATAGTAATATCGTATTTTTTCTAATCGTAAATTGTAAAATTTCATGAATAAATAGTAAATTTTCTTCTAAAATATTTGAAAATTAATAGTAATAAAAGTATAGTCCAGCTTTACAATAGTTGTATCGTAAATTTTCTTAGAAATTTTTTTCCGTGTAGGGTGTCAATAATCGAATCCCTATCACTAATTAATCCCCTTGCCTTATTAATAATTTTTATTGTTTTTTTTTTTTTCAATTTTGATTTTCACTGAATTGATCCAAAATTTTTAAATAATAATAATAAATAAGAGAAAACATAATTAATAAAAATATGTAAGGTTTCCCTTAAAAGCGGAAATAAACAAAGCCTTGAACAATAAAAAACAATACAGCAATTTAAAAATAACGATAATAATGACGTGACCCAGTGACCCCCATTCCGATGATCTCGTAAGGATGTTGATCTCTTTAAACACAATACCATCTACACATCCTTAGATTCCTCCACTCTCACACTCTCTCTGAGTAAACTGGGAATAGAGCAGACGCACATAAAAGTACACACTTAAATATTTTTCACGTTCATCGACCTGCAGACTGAACACGCAACTTATCGCGAGCGTCTACACTGCGGTTTCTCTCTCTCTCTTTTTCTTCTATGGGTTCTATGCTCTCTACCCAGGGTTTGCCCTACGTGCCCTCCGGGAACGGCAATTATCTTTGCCGGTACTGCGATAACGTCTATATGTATTTAAATGTACACAGCACACACCCGCCCGCCCACACAAACACCCACTACACACACGCACAGATGTATATTTATATAAAATACGGGAATATTGGCTCAGCAGAGCCCGAGCGAGTGTGAGTGAGCTAAGAAGCGGTAACTTTAAACTCATCCGATGCCAGAGGATGCCAGAGGCTGTCAAGCTAGTGCAGAACCTCCGGGGATACTTGGGATAATACACTATTAATATAACCACCTGCTATTATTTGTATACTTAATGTAACATCTATATAATTCACCAGAGTGCTCTCAGTTAGACTTCAACTATTCATTATGTTGATTGTTAAACATTCCAGAACTTCATTTTCACCGAAAGAGAAATATTGTTAATAATTATTGTACCTATACTAATTCTCCGTAGTGATAAACAGAAATAAAGGTTCACTTGAACCAAGAGAATATTTTTCTTCCTAATTAATTTCTTCACGGAAAAAAGAAAACAGGAATAATTGACTATTCGTTGAGCATTTTTTAGATTTTCAAATAGTAACCCAGCGCTTCGTTAACGAAAATCTAAAAGTTACAGCTTGGCGCTACGCAGTAAGTTTTACATTTTGAGTAAGAAATATTAGAGTTTCACGATGTATAAAAGTTACTATCTCACACTGTAAGTCTTTGTACAAGTCATTGAAATAATACTCGATAAGCGTTAAAATTTAGATTTTCATTTAACAAGTTTGAATCCGATTTTTTACATGAAAATAAAAAAAAATATCAATATATAAAATATTTTTTTTCTCCCATTAATAATACTCACTACCTAAATATTTATATCCTAATATTACAATAAGTAACAATCTGTCATATATTGAATTTTAGTGTGGCAAAGATGGAAAACGGCAATTCTAAAGTCTATATGTGAAGCAAAAAAAAATTTTTTTTTTAATGAAATTTAATTTTTGGTATTGGTTATTCATATATTCATGGGACATATTTCTTATCATATTTATTTTCGAAGTTTTTAATTTGAGGAAGGGGAGAGGGGATTGGTATTAGGAAATAAGTTGATCATATCACACACATACTCGCGTTCCTTATATAAATAAACTTATAATAATATTAATCGCAAATTACCCTAGCCAGGATTCGATCCCAGCGTCTACGCATGAAAGACCGACGTTTTATCTTCCGACGCTACTCGAACGACATAGCATTCTGTGTAATAGAGTATAGTTATAAGCTACAAGCGTAAATAGTATGCGTCAACAATAGTGACTGAAAAAAACTAAGTCCAATTTATACGAGAGAGGGGATAGAATTCTCTACCGCTATTCAAACATTGCTGAGCCAAACTTTAAATTTTGGATTTTAAGCAGTAAGTTCCTAGCTGCTAGAGTATTGACTGTACTTAATATAGAAAATCTAAAAATTACAACGTGAGATGCAATAGTTACTTTTTCTACACTAACGTTCATAATTCGTATCTCACACTGTAAATTTTAGTGAACCAATAAATAAACTATATTATTTGGCATTTTAATTAGTACATTGCTGAAAAATGATAATTTTTACAGTTTTAAATAGAAATGAATGACTTTTAAAGAGATAAAATTTCCTGCATAAAAAGCAATAATATTTTTACCTTTTATGATGTTAGATTTACAATTCCAAACTGTAAAATTTGCTTCTTGCATGACAACAATTTTGTTACTATATAAAATACAAAAATTACAGTTTGAACTTTAATTTTTTCTATTTTGATAACGACGGGCTTAATTTTAGATTTTATACTGTAATAATTCTTGTTTTCTTTTTTCCGTGCTGATTAAAGACTAAATAAATAGTTCATTTTTTAGTTAAAATAAAATTGTTATTAAAATCTAATTGAACCTGAAGAAAATTGAAATTTTGTAAAGAATTTCAGTGAAAATTATTTAATTTAATATTCTTACCGTGCAAAACACTTGTCAGCTTGTTGCGCTTCAACTGTGCAAAGTAAACAAGTAATATAACGGTCTTCAGAAGTTATTTGACTTGAATGACGTCAAAGATCTCAGACAAAAGCAATTAATTATAATTTTGACATAAAGTGAACATTAAATACTATTTCCTCTTTTTCAGCTGCTGTATAAAATAACTTGAGAGTTATAAGAATTTACTGAGCATGAAGCTCAATTACACTTAGATTTACCTTGACTATTTTATTGTTTGTGAAATGCTATTCTTGTAGTGCTGATGGTGTACACAACTTGTTCGACTAACAAAAAACAATAAAAAGTGTATGTTATAGCTTTAAGAGCAATAATTCACCAATGCACTTTAAAATAACGTTTAAGTGTAACCAATTTAAATCAACGGTTTGGGTATGTATAATAAAATATTTAATAATAATAATAATAATACTAATAATAATTAAAAGTATGTCAACAGCGTCAGGATGGTTGAACATTAAACAGAGATTAATATATAATTGTTGTATGTTAATACATTAAGTTATATTGAATAAAAAATCTGAATATTTGTATATAAAAATTGTAACAACTGAAAATAAACACAAGTATAAAACAAGAAATTGTTCTTCTATCGATGTAATATCTACTCGTACACACTCAGCAGAAAAATGTATAACTTACAAAGGCTTCAACTATTATAATAAATTACCAGACAATATAAGATTAGAAAATAGATTAAAAAGCTTTAAATGACTATTAAAAGACTATGTTAAAAATACGTATTGACAAAGAAACATTTACTAGTTTTAGCATGAAAATAAAGTTAGCTGACATTTAAAAATTTTTAGAAAACCATAAGGGCGTACAAAAAAAATTTCAAATTTGAAAAAATTTTTTTTTGTCATTTCTACGCGTTTCAAGTAAAAATACGTTGCTTCCCGAAAAAAAAATTTTTTTGGTACGCCCTTATGGCTCCCGGTAGGTACCCTGGGTGCCATAAGGGCGTACCAAAATTATTTTTTGCTTTTCTGCCCGTTTCAGGCATAACTACGTCGATTCCCGGAAAAAAAATTTTTATACGCCCTTATGGCTTTTCAAGGGTATTTTTTTCGAGATACGCCCTTATGGCATCAGTAACGCGATATTATTTGGCACTTTAATTTGTCCATTGCTGAAAAATGATAATTTTTACAATTTTAAATAGAAATTAATGACTTTTAAAGAGATAAAATTTCCTGCATAAAAAGCAATAATATTTTTACCTTTTATGATATTAGATTTACATTTCCAAATTGTAAAATTTGCTTCTTGCATGACAACAATTTTGTTACTATATAAAATACAAAAATTACAGTTCTTGTTTTCTTTTTTCCGTGTGAAGTGTCATTGACCTTCAGCAACAACCGATCAAAACATGAATAATTCCAATAATTAATTTTTTCCAGGCACTAACTTCAATCCCGCACCATTAAACCTCGGATCTAATCGCAAACGTTCCTCCGATTCGGTAGTTAACTTTTTTGCTTGACTCCTCCGCCCTGAATGGAGATGAGCAATTCATAGTTCCGCAAGTAAGTGTTAGTGCAGTACAATATCTAATGCGTTGTTCCATTGGTAGTGGTGTCAGTGAACGAGTTGGCAATGAGGTCTCCCAACGCGGAAATTTCTTCTTCTTTCTCCACACCGCGTTATACATTTTAACTTTCTCAAGTAGACAACAAGTGCTCGGTTGCTCGCGATCAGTCTCCGGGAATCCTCGATACTTGACAGTGATGCTATCTAAATCAATCGTTGTGATGTCTGATGTCTCTCATTGTGACTTTATTGATTGATTGGTGAGATTCGAGTGAGATTTTAAAATGAGCAAAAGAACCACTGGGTTTGTCAATTCCTGCGAAAGGATCAGACCTGAGAGGTCAAGGAATCCTTGCTTGCAACGACTAATGTGGACTTCTACAAAGTCCACTAGTGATATCCAGAAATCTAGGTACTGGGGGTACGACAGTTCAGTGACTGCTGATGATCTTCAGGTGACTAATCCAAGGGTAGCTCTGAGAAGGTTTGTATTGAAAAATTTTTACATATTATTTTAACTAAGATTGTTAAAAATTTTTGTAAAATTACAATCATATTACAATACACTATAGGCCTATAATATATATATGGCCAATTTTCATATCTAGCAATATAATAAATGGGTGTATTTGCAAAGAGCAATATATCGCGACATACGTGCTCAGAATTGCAGTGCAAACACAATTTAGTCAGTAACAGTGTTTTCGTGTGTTTAAAATTAATCTCGTGTACCCGTAAGCATCATCCCCGAACAATTTGCATAGAAAATGAGCGTGTAAAACCCTATAGTATCGGCTATTTATAACATCTGATTAAATAGCCTTCTGAATTAACTTAACATACTCTGCAGCGGACAAGGAAAATTATCCAATTAAAATAATTTAACTAGGTACTATAAGGAAAAAAAAATTTTCAAAATTATAGAAGAATCGGTTGAATTTACAGTTTTATTCTTTTCAAGACATAATTGTCAAATTTACAATTTGAAAAGTGTAATTTTTACATTATAAAAATTATCCACGTTGATGTTCCAATTTTTTATTTTTAGAATCGTAAATTTTATAATATTAAAAACGTAAATTTAATGTGTGGAAAAACTGTTGAATTTACATAGTGAAAAATGTAAATTTTGCAAAAAAAAAACTGTTAAATTTACACTAAGAAAATGTAAATTTAGCATGTTGAAAAAGTGTTAAATTTACACGGAAAAACTTAAATTTACGGGAGGTAAAACTATTAAATTTACATATAGTGAAAAATGTAAATTTAGTATGGAGAAAAACTGTTAAATTTACATGAAGAAAATTTAAATTTAGTGTGTCAAAAACTTTTTAATTTACACGTAAATTTACATGTAAATTTACGAAAGGAAAAATTTAAATTTACTCGATAAAAAACTATTTAATTTACATATTGAAAAATGTAAATTTAGTATGTGGAAAATTTATAGAATTTACATGTAGAACATCTGTTAAATTTACACGTAAATTTATGGAGAAAAAACTATTGAATTTACATGAAGAAAATGTAAATTTATTACGTGGAAAACTTTTTACTAATTTACACGTAAATTTACATGTAAATTTACGGAGGAAACACTATTAAATTTATATATTAAAAAATGTAAATTACGTATGTGGAAACTCTATTGAATTTACATGAAGATAATGTAAATTTATTCTGTAGAAAACTTTTTAATTTACACGTAAATTTACATGTGAATTTTACGGAAGAAAAACTATTAAATTTACATGTTAAAAAATTTAAATTTAGTATAAAGAAAAACTATTGAATTTACGCGATAAAAATGTAAATTTAGTATGTGAAAAAACTGTTAAATCTACACGGAAAAATTAAAATTTACTAAATGAAAACCTATTAAATTTACATATTGAAAAAATGTAAATTTAGCACGTGGAAAATCGATAGAATTTACGTGTAGAGAGTGTAAAAATAGCATATGTCAATTATTATTCATTTTTGGAAAATAGCCACGGGAATGATATAGTGATTGCACATATTGAAAGTTACAATAATTTTTAGCTAGAATAATCACAGGAATAAAAGGTCAATCCGATGGAATTTGGAATCACTGTGCAAGTCAAAACAATACTCCAATTAAATTTCAAGTCTAGATCTAAAAATACAATTCTATTCAATTCTAAATACCATTCTAAGTGCCCAGCGAAGCGGTCGGGTAACTGCTAGTTATATATAACTCATAACCTTAAATTAAAAACTTAAACATTTCTCTGCAGAGCGAGTTCGAGTATAACTAATATATGTTTAATAAAGATCTGTTTCTCATATTATAACTATGATTACTTTCCGCTTTAGTTATTTGATCATACATGTATCATGGTGCTTTGTTTTTTATAATTTTGTGTATGAAAATACAACAGTTATACATCAAATATTGTCTAATATTCACCCAGCCTAAAGTTGATATAACCTACTATCTACACTTGTATAACTTATTCACACCTAAATATAAATCTCATTGCTCTATTTCGAACTTTCTGTAGTACATCAAGCTCACTTTCACTGAAGTTTAGCATCAATGAACTACAGTATAGTCAAAATGTGGTGCAATTCACTTTAATAATGCTGAGATCTTTCACATAATGCCTTCGCTGATCATCTATTAACATATAGACCGTTTTTTTAAGATTAATTTTGAATTGTTTGTCTCTAAGCCAGCTTAGTGAAATTCCTAAACCACTATTCAATTTTTAAACTTTACTCCCAAAATACAAAGCCATGTCATCGGTAAAAAGTTTACAATCTATGTCGACATTTTTAAATATGCTAATTATTTCTTTTACATATATAATAAAAAAAAGACTATTTGGCAGCCGAAAGGGAAGTAGATTTCACAATGAATCCAACAACTACTAAAATCATTATTTTCAAAACTGATGCAAGAGTAAAATTCCATTAATAGAGAGCAATTTACAAAAATTTCACCAGTTATCGCATTTAATAATATATCAATCTGGATTCCGTAAATATTTCTCCTGCGATTTAAAATTAAATTGGTTTTTTTGATAAAATTAATTACCAGGAATTTCCAAATAAATTTTGTAATAGAATTATATAACATAAACCCATTATTTGTACATCGCAATGATCCGCAATTAAAAAGTTAAATAATTTCTTATCTAATTTTATAGTAAAAAAAAAAAAAAAATTGTCTACGACTAATTAAATACAATTAATTTAACAAAAACAATTTTAATTGCTTGGCATTTAAAATTATTACATAAGAATTTCTAATTATCTTGCAAAAGAATTTTTCTATGACTTAATTAATTAAAAAAAAAAATAAATTGTGATTTTTATTTCTTCTTTAATTTTTAGTTTATTAAAAATAAAAAATTTATGTTTTTTAATAAGAATTAATTTAATTTATTTTGTTGAAAAATTCTGAAATTAAAATTCAATTATAAAATTTCTAATGAAGAAAATTAAAAATATTGAAAAAAAAAATTTTGAGTTATCTATCTTTAGTAAAAATAATTACTTTAATTATCAAGTATTGCGCATTACTTCCATTAACTCAAAGAGTGAACAAAAAAATATCAATCGTCATCCGGTTTATAAATAATTTTAATTATTTTTAATTAACAAGTACATTGACATGAAATTTATATAGAACAAAAAAAAATATATAAAGAGGTAAGCTTAAGTTTATTGATCTAGTAAAGTTTTTTGACTGCGAAAACGAAGAAGAATTTACAAAAATATAAACAAAAGAAAAAATATTACTATTAACAAAAATGTATCTCAAATTTAAATTTTTGTTAATATTAATTATTTCTCCTGAATTATTAAATGCGGGAGGGAAAAAATTTTTCTCTAATAAAAAGTAAGTATATTTTTTTTTTAATTAAATTTTTTAGAAGAATATATTATTGATATTTTTTATTTTCCGCTGAAAAAATTGAAAATTTTTAAAAATCGGGAAGTTATTGGTTTTACCCCGTGTTATTGCACGGGAAAAAATTTGAAGGAATTTTTACTATTTCACTATCGTAATTTTTATTAAATTAAATAGTAACGGTGGACTGTACTTCTCATTTAGTAATTTTTACGATCTACTATTGTGAATTTTATCCAACAAGCAAGGCTAGCAAGAAACTTAAAAAGTCGAATAATATAGAGCAAATTATACAATATGTGTTTGTAAACTTTACAATTCAACTATTGTGAAAATTGACAGTCGGTTTTTTTAAAAGAAATTTTAGGGAGGGAGAGAGATAGGAGGCTGGACTAATTGGTACCAATACAGTAACCGAAAAAAGAAATCGGAATTTTCGTCCTATCCGGGAATCGAACCCAGAACTCTTTATTGGCAGCCAGAGACTCTTCCTCTACGTTATCCGAGGTAAACTAGTACCCATGTCCTTTAACATTTACATAAACTCGGAGTTTAGCACTGTGCACGGCCATCGCTTACACTAATTGTCAAACATTCCAATTCAACTATTGTGAAATTTGTTATAGTTCTATTGGAAAGATACAGAGGCAGCACTGAAAATTTTAATTCTTACTTTTTACAATAGTAATATCGTATTTTTTCTAATCGTAAATTGTAAAATTTCATGGATAAATAGTAAATTTTCTTCTAAAATATTTGAAAATTAATAGTAATAAAAGTATAGTCCAGCTTTACAATAGTTGTATCGTATATTTTCCCGGAAATTTTTTTCCGTGTGGTTTTACACAGAAATACCATAGTAACTTTAAGTGCCTCGGTATGGAATTAGCGGGAAGTTGCAGGGATGGCATTCAGGGTCAACCGTTTTCCTAATTTTACAATTTTTCAGATCTACTGAATCTTACAAAATATCAACGTTATCCTGGGGTCAGAGTTCCCAACAATCAGCAGCAGTGGTGCAGACAAATTCACCTGGACCATCTTCTTCTTCTGCACCAACAGATTCTGTTCTACAGAAGAATCGGTTTGCGAGATTGCCAAGCAGACCTACGATAAATATCCAAGCTGGTGAAACTGAAAATAAGCCAGTAGATGATGTTCCTGTTCAACAGCACAGTAATAGTCGGCTGAAGAAATTAGGAGAACATCTTACTGTAAAAATACCTCCTCCAGAAAAACATTCTAAGGAAGAATATCCAGCGTTGAGGAGTAGCAGTAGTCCGATTAATAATTTTGGGGAGCGTCTTAGTTTGAAGAAATCCAATTCTGCTACTTTTAATAATGGTAATAATAACATTGATTACAATAATTAAATTATAATAATAATATTAATATTCATTTCTAGAAGAATATCCTGCACTCCGTAGCAGCAAAAGCACCCTGCAAAGTCTCTCCCCCCCGCCAATGGAGCGTTCCACCAGTCTGCGAATCCCCAAACCCAAAAACCCCCACTTCATCCGCGGAGGAAGCGTCGGCTCAAACCTCAGCCCCAGATCCAGCCCAGGAACTTCATGGTCTTCATTGACCAGCTCTTCAGGCCGCGGAAGAAGTCCAAGTCTAAGCCCAAGCCCCAGCGGTTCCTTCAGTTCCATGAGTTCCAGCTTGTCCAGTCCAGGTCTAGGCCGAACCAGAAAGCTAAGTGATATTCCTCTGGTACCAGCTGCATCAGTCACCGTCAATGACCAGACCTGCAAAGAAGACAGCTCTCCAGCAGAGCAATGCTTCAATTTCTTCACCTTCAGCATCTTCTGGCCCCCGGCTTTGGGCTTCGAGTACCTGTCCAAGAACAAGCCAGTTAATGATAACATAAACTTGCTAAAGTGGTCGATCCACGGATTGTGGCCCAGTTCTTACACCGGAGCTGTTCCCGAAAATTGCAAGAAGCGGACGTCTGTCTCCTTCAACCGGCACCGGTTCCAGCTAGAAAAAGGACTCAAGACCAGTTTGGAGACCAAGTGGTTCAATATTTGTCTTTATAAGCAGCATGGCTGTTCTATGACCAGTTTCTGGGACCGTGAGTTCTCTAAACATGGTGCCTGTGCTTCGCGCTCTAGTCTCATTTCTTCCGATCACCTGTTAAATTTACACGTAAATATACGGAGGAAACACTATTAAATTTATATATTGAAAAATGTAAATTTAGTATGTGAAAAATCTATTGAATTTACATGAAGTAAATGTAAATTTATTCTGTGGAAAACTTTTTAATTTACACGTAAGAAAAAAACTGTTGAATTTACGCGGAAAAGTTTAAATTTACGGGAGAAAATTCTATAAAATTTACATATTAAAAAATTTACACTTTTTCACGTAAATTCAAGTTTTTCCTGTAGTTAAAAAAAAAAAATTTTTTTCCGTTTTTTAATTTTATATTTTAATAACAAAAATAATTTTTTCAATTTGAATTTTATATCTTAATTCACAAACACCGTACCGAAAAATTTTATTTACATTTTTTGTAAAAAATTGACCAAACTAAAAAAAAAGTTTTTTTTATGATTTTTCAATTAGTTAATTATTTTAAGAATTTATTTTATTCTAATTATTTGGGTATAAATTTTTGATGTATTTTGAAGAGTAATTAATTCTAACACAATAACAACAAAAAAAAAATTAATTACAGATTGCTAAGATTGTACGAAGGGCGTCAGTACCGCGAGGCAGCAAATTTAGTAGGAAAACTGCCGCGATGCACTTTAGCGTTGACACTAACGGACTTTCCCGTGGACTTGGTGATCGAAACACTTCCTCGAAGTTTGTCACTTCTTGAAGCTTTGTATTCCCGGCTGCCAGAACTTTGTTTCAGTAAGACCAATAGCAACACCAACAACAAGAACAAGAACAATAACAGTATCAGTAATAACAGCAAGAACAGTAGTGTAGGCGAAAACAGAATCAAAGAGGTAGAACAAGATGAATTGTCAAGGGCGCTAAGGGTGGAACAGCTTCTCTGGAAAGTGGTTCATCTTATTTCCGTCTGTCAGGATCAACAGAGCATTAGAATTTGGGCTAAGCTCCTGACGTACATCGCCCGGGTCTCACCCAACAGCCTCGAGCTAATAGTTAACCGAAAGAAAGCTCTAGACGAGACTATCGAAGGGCTGGGGAAGCATGGGCCGATACCCTGCCAAATTACCAGCGAAGATAAACGGTTTGGACACCACCAGGATACCAAACTTTTACCGCTAACAGCTAAATTGAAAGATGAACTCGAAACGAGGATTGACGCCTACAAACTTGCACTGCATAAGATTGATAACTTTGGTAAAGACGCTTCTAGGAGATCTAAAGGTAAGTTGCAAGAAAATATTTATTTATTGGAGATAAATATTGTCAGAATTAGGATATGGGGCATTCCATAGTGACTGGTAGGACATTTGATTCTGGAATTCTATCAATTATAAGCTATAATTATGTGACTGAGACTTAAACTATAGGAAAAAAGTTTGGAAAATCCAAAAGTGCACGTCTCATAACACGGAAAAAAGAAAACAGGAATAATTGACTACTCGTTGAGCATTTTTTAGATTTTCAAATAGTAACCCAGCGGTTCGTTAACGAAAATCTAAAAGTTACAGCTTGGCGCTACGCAGTAAGTTTTACATTTTGAGTAAGAAATATTAGAGTTTCACCATGTATAAAAGTTACTATCTCACACTGTAAGTCTTTGTACAAGTCATTGAAATAATACTCGATAAGCGTTAAAATTTAGATTTTCATTTAACAAGTTTGAATCCGATTTTTTACATGAAAATAAAAAAAAATATCAATATATAAAATATTTTTTTTCTCCCATTAATAATACTCACTACCTAAATATTTATATCCTAATATTACAATAAGTAACAATCTGTCATATATTGAATTTTAGTGTGGCAAAGATGGAAAACGGCAATTCTAAAGTCTATATGTGAAACAAAAAAAAATTTTTTTTTAATGAAATTTAATTTTTGGTATTGGTTATTCATATATTCATGGGACATATTTCTTATCATATTTATTTTCGAAGTTTTTAATTTGAAGAAGGGGAGAGGGGATTGGTATTAGGAAATTAGTTGATCATATCACACACATACTCGCGTTCCTTATATAAATAAACTTATAATAATATTAATCGCAAATTACCCTAGCGAGGATTCGATCCCAGCGTCTACGCATGAAAGACCGACGTTTTATCCCGACGCTATTCGAACGACATAGCATTCTGTGTAGTAGAGTGTAGTTATAAGCTACAAGCGTAAATAGTATGCGTCGACAATAGTGACTGAAAAAAACTAAGTCCAATTTATACGGGAGAGGGGATAGAATTCTCTACCGCTATTCAAACATTGCTGAGCCAAACGTTAAATTTTGGATTTTAAGCAGTAAGTTCCTGGCTGCTAGAGTATTGACTGTACTTAATATAGAAAATCTAAAAATTACAGCGTGAGATGCAATAGTTACGTTTTAAATAAAAATTAATGACTGTTAAATAGATAAAATTTCCTACATAAAAAGCAATAATATTTTTACCTTTTATGATGTTAGATTTACATTTCCAAACTGTAAAATTTGCTTCTTGCATGACAACAATTTTGTTACTATATAAAATACAAAAATTACAGTTTGAACTTTAATTTTTTTATTTTAATAACGACAGGCTTGATTTTAGATTTTAAACTGTAATTATTCTTGTTTTCTTTTTTCCGTGAATGCTCATTCATTTTTTAAGAAAAAAATTAATTGTGTAATTGATTAAAAAAAAAAAATTATAAAAAGTGTAATATGGTTGTGATAGAGGCATTTAAAGATCACAAAATTGTTTGACCTTGATGAGTCGAGTATAAAGCCAACCTCACGCGCTTCGCGCTATGAGGCGTGCAATTTATCTTTTAATATAGAAGGATAACTAATTAACAACATCTCTTTGTCAAAAACTGCGATTACTTTTTAAGTTTCTCGTATACGAGAATACGTTAAATAATTCTGACAATATGATTATCTCTAAGGATGATTGAATTGTACGCTTGAAAATTAGTTACTTTTTTTTCGGAAGGAATTGTGTTCAGAAATTGTTTTTTTTCGGGCCGGTTCGGAGTAGGTTGACTTTTTTACTGTGGCTAAGCGTGTCGGTCCTGAAACTACTGATTTATAGGACAGAGTTCGAATCCTGGGCATACTTTTTTTTCAACAAAAATTGAATTAATTTTTTTTTTTTAACTTTATAGGTTGAAAGATAATTTTAAAAAAATTTTTTTATGTCTTCAGCAATAGGATCTTCAATAAGGGTCTTCAAGCTTAAAAATCATGTATCACACTTAATATTTACTTCAATATTACCATCAATTTTCAACGCCCCCAACGAATGGAATTTTCAAAAAAATTATTATTAAATAATTTAATTATATTTGTTTGCAGAAAAAAAATTTTTTTCTTTGATAACAATATCGATATTTTAATAGTATTTTATTTAATTAATATTTATGTGCTCCGATAATTTATTATTTCATTAATTAGCAAAAAATTCAATTAAGAAAAAGTCAATTAAAATCTATCCACTCAAATTTAACTATCAATTTAAAATCACTCTAATAATTCCAATTACACGAATAGAACTTGCGAAAAAAAGTTTATTGGATAATAAAAAAAAATTGACACAGTTTGATATAATTAGCCAAATCATAAATAGTCAGATTTTCTTCTGTATAAATGTACAAACCATAAAAAAAATTTTTAAAATAATAATAATAATCATACTACACTAGAAAACCGGGCCCGATGGTCAAAAGCTCACGAAAACCAGAAACTCCCAAACGAACATTAAAAAATCCAACATTTTTCTCTTAAAGCGCCCGAAAAAAATCCTCTTAGCTTTCGAAAGCTTCGTAAGCTCCTTAATTCCCTTGTTGACCATCAAGTAACCGAACTTTTTACCTCAACTACTCACCAACCCACCCGGCTCGTTAACTCCTCCTCAGGCGAGATGACTCCTCTCTTACGATCCATTCCATTGAGGGTGGTAACCCGAAATAGTTACCGCTACAATTTACAAAAAAATTCCAGAGCTTTCTGCTTCAATTTTCCGTGATAATTCCAGTGGAATTTTCACTACGCACTTTACTAATGCAAGCTCTAAAAAAGCTTTAAAGTCAAAACACTAGGTCATGTAGGGTAAATGTGGCATAGTTAGGATTTCATTTTTTTTTAACATAAAAATTAAAAGAAACAATTTTGGAACGTATTTAGTGTGCGTGGTTACGAAATATTTCACTTTTTATGAAATTCCTAAAATCTATCTACTAGGACTTTTAAAAAAAATTGAAGTACACAATGACGCCCACCAAGTACGTTCCAAAATTGTTTCTTTTAATTTATAAATTTACAAAAAAATTTTTTTTAATTTCCGAAAATCATATACAACCATATCGGTTACTTGGATTTTTTTATTTTATATCTTTTTGTAAAAAAATAAAATTTTTTTTTTTAATAGTCTTATGAACGTGGACTTGGCGCGATTTTTTTACAGTGAAACTGTTTTTGTTCGGATTTCAGTATTTTTTGTAATTATAATAAAAATTGACAATTTTAATTTAATACATTTCCGGTGGCAAACTATCCCCTTTAAGCTATAGTTCATGTAAAAGTTATTCTTGCGCCGTCTGGCGTGTGTAATTGCAAGCTGTCAAATATCTTTTTTTCACTGTAGTTTCTCATCTATTATAAGATTAGCATGCATCCTTATATTATCTAGTCTCTGGCCGTCCGCTTTTTACATAAGAAAAAAGTTAAAATCTAAAAATCTGGGTCGCTATAGTTTGTGCTGATTATTTTTAATAATTTTAAATAGAAATTATAAAGTTAATTGATAATAATCAAGTAATACGCGTAATAAAAAGCATGAACTACTATTATAAAATATTATATAAAAAAAATCAAAATAAATTTGAAAAAAAATTTGTAACCTCAGAAAACCGTTCTGCTTACGATATATACACACTCGGTAGTCTGGCTTGAGAACGGAACTTGGCGCCAGACTCTATCGAGTCTGTTCCCTCGCGGTTTTGAGAATGCCGTAAAAATACCGTAATTTTTCGGTATTTATGCTCATGCCGTATATTTACCGTAATAATGCAGTTAAACTATAGTTGTTTTGGCCAGTTTTATACTGTAAATATCCAGTATATATACTGCACTTATGCTGTACAGTTACCAAAAATATATTATACAATTACCGCATTAATGCCCAAATTTTACCCAAAAAATTCCAAATAATTACCGTAATAATACAGTAATTTTGCCGAATATTTTCTGACATAATGGAAAATTATTAAAAATTTGGTTTTATTTTTAGTTCACTTCTATGTTAGAAATGAATAAAATGAAAAATTTCCAATTTTGCTTTTTATTCTCCATCGCTATTTTGGAAAAACAAATACTGTTTTTGAATAAATACTATGTAGAATATTATTTTTTAATTAGGTATTTAGCGGTAATGAATATTAAAGAATACATATGTTAAGTAAATATATTCTAATTTCAATTTCAATTTTAAATTTCTCACTTAGAAAATTGCAAATTTTCTAAAATCGAAAAGTTACATTGTTTCACATATATAACTATATTATTTAATTTTAAATATGCTTATCGTAAGATGGACGGTATGGGTTAATGTATATTGAATAAGCAAAAAAAAATATGGTGCAGGCCGGGTAGCTCAAATGGTAGAGTAACCGACTTGTCCTCGGGAGGTTCTGAGTTCGAATCCCAGTCTGAGCTTTATTTAATTTTACACCATTTTTTAAATATGGTTTTAATACAGTCATTTTACCGCTTTATTACCATAAATATGCCGCATTTTTAGCGTAAATATTTCGCATTTTTACGGTAAATGTTCCGTAATATTTAGATGAAAAAACTGACCAAAACAACCGAAAAAATGCTGAAAAAAAACGGCATTAATACTGTATAACTGCGACATTTTTTCGGCATTTACAAAACCGCTAGGGTTGATACATGAAGATTGTAAAATTACAATACATCTTAGTAGATTTCCTGGTGTTGGAAAATTACATGAATTGCATTTTATTTCGCATTGCTATACACTGATTTTCAATGTTACTTATCATTTGTTTTGTAATATGATTGTTATTTTACAAAAATTTTTAAACAATGTAGGACTAAATTATAATGAATTAGAGAAATTTCCAAATTTTAGTCATTTTCCCATTTCACATAGAATGCCCCATATATAATTACATGCAATCGAATTTTAACTTGTTTAAGTGCTTACACTTGCCCCACATGACTTTATATGACAGCACTAGCGCGTGTTTCAAAAAACCCTGTAAACTTTATCGAGCTTTCGACCATCGAACCAAAACTATTGATGTTTATACATGAGAGTTGATATTGAATACGCAAGAGCTTTTACGTAATTTAAATATTTTTCCATTCTCGGAATTGAATCAGGCGATCCCCATGGACTGAAATCGTCGTCACACCAGCGACTGCTGTCATTGAAATACAGCGAGGTCCAACAGCGGCTCATCGATAATCAAAGTCTTCTGAATACCCTGGAGAAGGCCAGCGGGCGAAACTTGGCGGAGCTTTCAGCGGAGCTTGCGGGCAGAGTTGAGCAGGACAAAGAAGCTCTGCGCCAGTGGACATCTCTGAGGAAATTCACGGGGGAAAACTCGACAAAGGAGCCATCTTTAGCGGCAAGACTTCTGCAATTCTCTCGTGCTTGCGGGATCGTGGTTGACCTCATGCGGAGAGCTCCCATTGGAAACTGGTCTAGTGAGCTTTTTCTGGAGGAGGAAAAGTACGAGGTCACTGAGTCTAGCAGCGCGGGGTATCACACTGATGACAGCTGCAGTCCGGAGCCTAATTGTCCGTATTACGCGAGCTTGCAGTCGGAATACGAAAGCAAAGCTTTTACGACACGACAGTTGACGGACAAATACGCGGGCTTGTATGCGCAAGCACACTTTCAAACCCTCGACGCCCTGGATGCTCTCGAGCCGCTGAAGGAAGCTCCAGATCTCAAGGCCAAGATTCTCTTCTCTGTTGTCGTTGTAAGTTATATCAGAGTACTTGAGTTTGAGCTTGCAAGTTTTTCGGGTGGCAAATCTGATAAGAGATTGTATTTGTTGTCGGTTCGAATTTATAGCGGCATTAAGAGCTTCAGTTAATGCGAAAAGCTCTGGGGTTATTGATTGCAACTTTTGGGAAGGCTTCAGAAGCTTTTATGGATATAATGATCGGGAATTGGAAATCTGATAAATTGAAAGTTTTGTGTTAGATGATGATTAGGAAGCTTGCGAAGAAATTTTGTTGAGACAGCATAAGATGTGGTGACAAATAAATATATACACGGAAAAAAATTTCTGGGAAAATTTACAATACAACTATTGTAAAGCTGGACTATACTTTTATTACTATTAATTTTCAAATATTTTAGAAGAAAATTTACTATTTATTCATGAAATTTTAAAATTTACGATTAGAAAAAATACGATATTACTATTGTAAAATGTAAGAATTAAAATTTCCAGTCCTGCCTCTGTATCTTTCCAATAAAACTATAACAAATTTTACAATAGTTGAATTGGAATGTTTGTCAATTAGTGTGAGCGATGGCCGTGCACAGCGCTAGACTCCGAGTTTATGTAAATGTTAAAGGACTTGGGTACTAGTTTACCTCGGATAACGTAGAGGGAGAGTCTCTGGCTGCCAAAAAAGAGTTCTGGGTTCGATTCCCGGATAGGACGTAAATTCCGATTTCTTTTTTCGGTTACTGTATTGGTACCAATTAGTCCAACCTCCTATCTCTCTCCCTCCCTAAAATTTCTTTTAAAAAAACCGACTGTCAATTTTTACAATAGTTGAATTGTAAAGTTTACAAACACATATTGTATAATTTGATCTATATTATTCGACTTTTTAAGTTTCTTGCTAGCCTTGCTTGTTTGATAAAATTTACAATAGTAGATCGTAAAAATTACTAAATGAGAAGTACAGTCCACCGTTACTATTTAATTTAGTAAAAATTACGATAGTGAAATAGTAAAAATTCCTTCAATTTTTTTTCCGTGTAGATTATAATAAGTTACTAGCAACCTTGCAGTCACTATGTGACTGCCGTGACTTGTGAACTATAAATTAATGACTTTTGTTAAATTGCACTGTACTTTCTTAAATATAGAGGTTTTTAAAGATATAAGCTCATCACGATGTTACACTCATCAAAAGCTTCCATTTGAGTACCCACATGCATTTTTGATATATTTTCCATATATACATATATATAATATATATAAATATATGAAAAATTGATGTGGGTACTCAAATGAAAGGTCAGGATGTGCGTAATGTCGGGATGAGCTTAGATCTGTAAAAATGTCAATAGTTCACAAAATACAAGGTCATTTTTTAATTATGTTAAATTGCACCGTACACGGAAAGAATAAGATGACACTGGATATCATCCCAGATTATATTGAGCGAAAAAGAATTTCAGATAGCAGCTAGTATGATCCAGATATCACGCAGTATGATCTGAAATTTTTCAGCTACTATCTAAGAATTTTTTTCACCATAGATATCACTGAGTATAATCTGGGATTATTGCTTTAAGCTCATTCTGATGTTACACTCATCAAGAGCTTTCATTTAAGTACCCACATGCATTTTTTATATATTTTTCATATATACATATATATACATGTATATAATATATATAAATATATGAAAAATTGATGTGGGTACTCAAATTAAGGGTATCGATGAGTGTAATGTCAGGGTGAGCTTAAATCGTTAAAAATGTCAATAATTAAGAAATTATTTAGATCGCCAAAAGTTAAAAACAATTTTAATTGCATCCCGAAGCTTGCAAGGTCTATCAATTGCACATTTTAAACCTCAGTTACAATTATTAACTATTTTTAGTAAAAAAAAATTCCCGAGCTTTTGAGAGTCATACATTTCCCGAGCTTTTAATCAGCTTTTATACAAAAAGCTTTTAAAGATATCAACCAAGCTTCATCTTAAAGCTTCTTAACAACAAATATAAATGTAAATATTTCATTAATTGTTTCAAAAGCTCACGTAACTAAATAGTTCCATTTTTATCCTATTGTCTTGAAAGCTTTTAATGTATAAAATTGTATAACTACAAAATTAGTATTTTAAGGGGTCACTCTGGTTTCGCTCAAAAAAAGCCGATAATATTTTTTTTACACAGAAACTATTATTTATATTATTGAGAGAATAAGAAAAATTTTTTGTCCAGGATAGTCATATGATAAAATCGGTCTTTTTAAATAATATTTTTAAGCAAAAAATACTTATTTTATCAAAACAAATCCAAAAATATTTATAACTGGGCCCATAACCTATTAAAAAAATTCAAATTTTTAAGCTTAAAATTTTTCTAAAACTATTTAGTAATGCTTCAAGTTTAGTCTCAATTTTTACTATAATTTTCGGCAAAAATTTTATAGTTAGGCCCATAACCTGTAGCAAAAAAAAATTATTTAAAATTTGAACAAATTAATCTCTTGACCCATATTTTTAAAAGGAGTTTTTTTTTTTATCAGTTTAGTGGAAAATTTTTAGAAATTTCTTGCAAGCTCCCAATTAAAAACAAATAAATTTATTCCTTGGAGCTTTCAACCTCATACGTCACAACCTCGATCTTTTTGCAGCTTTCCTGGCGAATCGCTGACAGCATCCAATCGGCCCGCAAACTCGAAGCAGTGGAAATCCTATCGGGAGCTGAGTCATCAATTCCGGAGCTTAAGTTGTCACTGGACATTGAAGCTTGCATGCGTCGGCAGCTTGCGACCTTCGGGTACTCAACAGGTACGAGGGAGGTCGCTTCGCGGGTGATGGACCAGCTCAAAAGGACCCTCTACGACTACCCTTGCATCGAAAGCTGCCCGGAGCTTGTGACCTACACCCTCGAAAGCGGCCATCTTGCCTGGGCCTGTCTTTCCCACGAAACTCCTCTGATCCTCGACACCGTGGAGCCCAGGGGGAGATTCGAGCCCGTTTTCGATCGCGAGTTACACTCGAGGCATCACGGTTCCCCGAATCCCAAGGGGGCCAGGATCTCCGGGGTAGTTTGGCCCGGGCTCAGGATCAAGAGTTTGCAAGGACCTTGTCTTTACCGAGCGGTTGTTCTTACCTCGTGAACTTATTTCAAGAGTCTAACTCTCGGAAACTTCCGCGAGAGATTATTGGAGCTTGTTAAGCTCACTTGTTGATATACTAAACTTTTTTCATAAGAGGTTTGTTTTAGGCATCAGTAAGCTTCGAGCTTTTATTATTCATTTAAAACTTTTGCTGCGATGGAGTGGTTTATTTATTTTGTCTTTAATAAAGTTTTTTTTTTAATTTAAAGTTTGAGAAATTTTTTTTTTTACCTTTTTTTAGGTTGTAAGTCGAATAAGTAGAGAGCTTTTTTATTGAGTTTTTTTTTGGGGGAACAGCAGCGACGTTATTGGTAAGGATGATCATTGTTTTACCGGCTGAGAATATGTTTACAAAATTATCGGCGCTGGGTAAATGTCTATTGGGGTCGAAGTTGGTGAGCTTGAGCATAGATGGCAGCAGAAGTTTTTTTTTAAATAAAATTTTTCTAATTTAAATTTTAAGGCGCGATTAAATACTTAATTTTTTTTTTTTGAGGACTTTTGAAGGATTGAATTAGAAGAAAATTTTTTAAGAGTCGAGTAAGATTTTTTTAATTTTAAAAAAATTCTAAGAATATTTTAAATTACTTAAAAAAATAAATATAGTTTTTTTTTTAGCGTCTTTATTAAATATTATTTAAATGAATCGAAATTTTACAAAAAAAAAGGAATAAAGATAATTAAAAAATTAATGTGTTGACAAATCATAAACTATGACTAAAACGTGTCAGAAAAAATTATCGTCTTTGATTTATTGAAAGAGTATTCATGCAAGTGTAATAAAATTTTACAAAGTACGATAACATTTATTATTTATTTTTTTAAAGAGCTAAGAATTTTTTAAATATTAATAAAACATATATTGTAAGAATTTAGAATTGAAAATTTGTAATTAAATTTTAGAAATAAAAATTAAATTTAAAAAATTTAGAATTTACAAAAATTTTGACTTTTAAAATTATAGAATAAAAAAAAATTGGTTTTTGAAATTTTTAAAAATCTTATTGAACTGATTTAAAACAAATTTTTTTTTAAGTAATTAAAAAAAATAAATATAGATTATTACGGATATTATTTAAAATTGTTGAGAATATTATTTAAAATAATTGAAATTATACAAAAATGTGATTCACGATAGTAAAAAAATTATTTTCTGCCCTCCGGCCGGAAAGTGGCAACTTTCTGGCCGCTGCGCTAAACAAAGTTGCCACATTCCGGCTACGTCGAGCAGAAAAATAGTATACACACCTTGGCCAGTAAAAAAAAAAGCCTCAGACCACATGTTTGTCAACCTCGGCTTCGCCTCGGCCAACAATTACATGTGGTCTGAGACTTTTCTTATTTTACTGGCCTAGGTATGTAATATACTTGAAAAATCATAAATTATGACCAAAACGTGTTAGAAAAAATTATCATCTCCGATTTGTTGGAAAAATATTCATGCAAGTGTAATAAAATTTTGCTAAGTACGATAAAATTTATTATTTATTTTTTTTTTAAGAGCTGGAAAACTTTATCAAATACTGATTCATCAGAGCGTGTTAATTTTCTATTGGTGGAACGGAAAAAATAGTGAGTTGGCTCAGATTGGGGAAGGTTGTATAAAAACCCGTTGAGGAACAAAAAAATTATAATAAAAACGAAAATATAACTACTGTGAAGGTTTGAAATTTATTTAGAAATGGCGACTCTGTATTCTACTGTTTTGGCCTGCTTTCTTCTAGCTGCCGTCACAAGCGCGGTAAGTTAATTATTTTAAAAATTTTTAGAATTATGATGATATGCTTGGTAGCGTGCAAAAAACTTATTAATGTTAAGACTGAATAAGATATATGGTAACATATGAATATGTTGTAAGGATACCAAAGTCAAGGGTATAATAAACAATTTATATTTTATAATAAAACAGTTTTGTTATCGCAGAATCTTTTAGTACAACAAAATATTTTAGTATTAACAAATCGATTTGGTGAAAAATTAAGATTGTTATGTCAGGATAGCAGAAAATTTTGTAGCTGGTTCAACATTAACCACATAGTTGGTACAACAAATGATGTCGTTGAAATAGCTAAACTATTTTCGAAAAATACTTAATTATTTTGTTAGTTAAATTTTCTCAAAAACATTTTTTCAAGACAAGGAAGTTCTAGCGATAGCCTTTAAAGTGAACCGTATCCAGGATTTTTTAATTGTTAGAATAATAAACGAAATTGTAAATTATAACTTTAATCGCAATTGCAAAGAAAAGCTTCTCAGAATTTCACAACTTTTTTTGACAACAAAATCGTTATGTCATGCCAAAAAAATCACTTTTTTACAGGAACTAAATTATTTTGTTACTACAACAAAATTAGTAGAAAAACGGTACACTGATAAAAAAATTAACTTTATTAAAGAAAAAAAATCTTGAACTAAGTGTACCATTTTGAAAAAAATGATTTTCTTGACTCAAGAAAAAAAATTGTTGAGACAAGAAAAATGTACCAAAATCAAGAATAATTTCTTGATTCAAAAATTTTTCTTCTATATGCAAGAAACTTTTTTTCTTCAAAATGGTATTCTTGAGTCAAGATTCCTTCTCTTGGGTCAAGTTATTTTTAACTTCCCGCTAAGAAAATTGAAAATTTTTAAAAATCGGGAAGTTATTGTTTTTACCCCGTTTTTCGAAAATCGAGTTTTCATCAGATCTCGACGTTTTGAGGTCCTAGGAAGCTTCCCTGACTATTCCCGTGAGGGTGTCACTATGTCTGTATGTATGTGTGTGTGTGTGTGTGTAGCCGTATGGAAACCTCTTTAGTAGATTTCGAGAAATCTTAAAAAAAACTACAAAAAAAAATTATTTCAAATGTGGTTTTCATGGAATTACTATTAAACGGCTTCACTGATCAACTCCAAAAACTAATCAGCTCTTAACATCAAAAAACCACGT